TATATATATATATATACACACACACACATATATATATAAATAGTCTTTCCATATGAATTGCCATTTACCTATTCTTGTATTTCTTATTACACTGTAAGGTAAATGGGACAAAGAATCAAATATCACCAGTGCTACATACACAGTATAAATATAAAACAGCATCATTGGGGGGAGACAACAATTTACTAGCAGAGAAGTAGCAAACTAACATGTTTTGTATTGCTACTCTAACACATTGCCACAAACACCAGGTCTGCCATTTGGCTTCTAGGACAATCCCAACTTTAAGTACTCACCCAGTTTCCCCCACTTTCAAGGCCACTAGCACTGGCTTTTTGATAAGCACCCTGATGATTTCCATTGGACCCCATGTATAATCTCAAGATCTTTAACTTAAACACATCCTCAAAATCCCTTTTGCCAGGTAGGGTAACCTTCACAGGTTCCCAGGATTAGGACATGAACATCTCGGGGGTACATCACTGCCTGCTACTCATGGCACATGTGATCCCCAAATGATCTCGTTATCCCACCAGAAAGTGTGCTCAGTTCAGCAGAGCTGAACTAGCCGCACAAAAGAACGCTTTCCAACAGAAGCCTAACGCTCTACATGTTTACACGGCAGGGTGCACGGGGCCCCTCTACCCCTGGTGACTGTATGGCTAGTGACCCTGAAGCTTCCTGGTGGAGGAAGAGGGGGCCTCCAGCGCTGGGCTTCTGCTAAATCCTTTTCCTTTCTCTGAGCTCATGTAGGCCGTCCCAGGTAGCTGCTTGCTGAGCAAATGGTCCTCCAGGGCCACACGTAGTTGTCCTACTCATAGCTCTTTCATCCAAAAGAAACGGACCTGAAGGAGAGGGCACTAGGAGATGGTGGATCAATGTTCTCTGAAGGGATATTTGCATTTCTACTTGTTCCTTTGCATTCCAGTTACAATCTCATACAGTTGCAAGTATCCTTCTCTGGGAGCTGGATGGGCTTGGCCTTCCAATGGAAGAAATTCGTGTTGTTCAGAAGAGGCTTCTCCCGCAGTTCCTCCTCCTTCTCATAAAAAATATTTGCATATTGTTGCCCTGGCCAGTTTTTCTCAGTGGTTGGAGCATTGGTCCTCGGACTGAAGGGTTACACGTTTGATTCCCAGTCAAGGACATGTACTAGTACCTAGGTGCAGGCTTGATCCCTAGCCCCGGTCAGGGTGTGTACAGGAGGCAACCAATCAATGTGTCTCTCTCACATCGATGTTTCTCTCTGTCTCCCCCCCTCCCTTCCATTCTCTTTAAAAGTCAATGGGGGGAAAATATCCTCAAGTGAGAATTAACAAAAATAAATAAATAAATAAAAATGTTTGCATATTATAATATGTACTAGAGGCCCGGTGCACGGATTCGTGCCCCCGTGGGGTCCCTCAGCCTGGCCTGTGCCCTTGCGCAATCTGGGACCCCTTGGGGGATGTCGGACTGCTGGTTTCGGCCCGATCCTGGGAATCGGGCCCAAACTGAAAGTCCGAATCCCCCGAGTGATGTAGTAGTGTGTGAAGCCGGGCGGCCCGGGGAGGAGCCTGAGCCTGGGATGGACAGGTGCACCGCGCAGCTCCCACTCATCCCGGCCCTGCTGCGCCTGCCGCTGCTATCCTTCCTAGCAATGCTGTGGAGGCAGGAGAGGCTCGCATCGCTGCAGCTGCGCTTGGCAGCCATGAGGCCGGTGTCTGGCGCCCTTCAGTCAGCTGAGCAGCGTGCCCGCTGTGGGAGCACACTGACCACCAGGGGCAGCTCCTGCATTGAGCATCTGCCCCCTGGTGGTCAGTGTGCGTCAAAGCAACCAGTCGACTGGTCTTTTGGTCGCTTAGGCATATATATATATATACTCGAGGCCCGTTGCAGGAAGATTCCTGCAAGAATAGGGCTTCCTGCGGCTGGAGCAAAGCAGAGAAGGGAGCAAAACCCGCTGAGGCGGGCTTCGCTCCCGCTCCCCGCCGCGCGGCTGGTTTGTTTCCCCTCCCGCTCCCCGGCGCCCGGTTGGGTTTCCCTCCTGCCTCCCGCCTCTGCCGCCTTGGCTCCGTTCCTGTCTCCGACGCCTCTACTTTGCTCCCTTCTGTAGCACTTTGCTTCCACGTTGTCTTCAGTCTTTGCTCCCAGCCAGTATATGCAAATTAACCGCCATCTTGGTTGGGTTAATTTGCATATAGTCACTCTGATTGGCTGGTGGGCATGGCTTAAGGCATAGCGAAAGTACGGTCAATTTGCATGTTTGTCTTTTATTAGTGTGTGTGTATATATATATATATATAGAGAGAGAGAGAGCGAGAGAGAGAGAAAGAGAGAGGGGGGGGAGGCCCAGTGCACAAAATTAGTGCACTGGGCGGGGGGATGTCCCTCAGCCCAGCCTGCACCCTCTCCAATCTGGGACCCCTTGGGGGATGTCCGACTGCCAGACATCCCTCTCACAATCCAGGACCACTGGCT